GAGAGAGAGGGAGAGAGAGAGGGGCGTTCATTGCCTAACTCGGGCATTCCATCAAAGTGCAAATTACCTTGCTGTCGGAGCAATCAGGGAGCAATCAAAAAATCCTTTTCGTACTTTTGTGCAACTGCGGCCACACGCTGCTGAATGAAGTATCCAGTTGCAACTGCAGCAAAGGCACGGCTGGTGCTTGAGGGAAAAAATTAACCAGCATGGCCAGCGAACAATTTGGCACCGTATGAGCACAGGTATAGGTATTTCAACAACTTGGACTCCGGCCTGGAACCCCTCTCTGACCCCAAACTCTAGACCCTAAACCCCAGATCCTCAATGCTGAACTGTTGTCAGTTAATCGTGAACCTACCGTAAACCCCAAGACCTCAAGCCCCAAACCTTGGACTCTCGCCTGGTAGTTGTACCCCTGCTCAACCAGAAACTGCTGTCGGCGGTTGGCGTGGTAAAGCTCCTGCGTGTCCCTTGAGACGATAGAGTAGAAGTATGCCTCAGTGATGCAAGACGTTGCTAGTATGTGGGCCAGAGTAAAGACCAACATCATTCTGGAGTCTTTTGGTGTTCCCGAGACCATATGTATACATGGCATCTAGGACAATCATGTTCGTAATTCTGAAGGCCCCGGCAGTACCTACCATAGGCTTGGACAGGAACTGTGTCAACCGTCTGTACAATAGTACCTATACATCATCACGTTCCACAAAACAACCCCCTAACCCCCATAATAATGAACATTCCCTACACTCTAAACCGCATGGTTTTACCAGGGGGGGAGACTATAACACTGGGGGTAGGGAATGGATCCCACTCTGACAGCCCTAAACAACACCCAAAACCCTCTTTTTTCCTGGTTGTTGATGGGAAATGGACTGAAGGAACCCAGTAGTAGAATCTATGTGATGCCATACTATTGAATACAGTAATTTCAATGCTCCTTTGCATTCCTTCATTCCCTGCCAAAAACCAGCAAGTCAACCCTAAAGTCCACATATCCCTATGAGATATCCCTCTTAGCCGTCAGTTTCCATTTCATCTTCAGACACGCCGTTACAGTACACTCTCCTCATCTTCCACAGGCTTTTCGATTACCTCTTTGAGCCCTGGGGCGTTGAAGCGGCCGCCGGAATTCGAGGTTTGCGGCTTCGGCCGCAAAATCCGGCCCAGTCGCTGAGCCTCCTGCCTGTCGGGATGCATTGAGGGAGCAGAGACCCGGGTGACTTGGTAGCTTCTCTGCACCGTTCCTAGTTTCCAAAACTTTGCACTGACTTCAAGGTGTTCTACGGGCATCAAATGCAAAGCGGGATCTGGGATCTGTGTCTGAATAAGTTGTTTGGCTTTTCAAAGGGATCTGGACATGGGAACGGTCGCTACAACTTTTTGCCTACATCCTCGAATAACCCTGCAGAAGCATACATGGAAAGGCTTTTGAAGAGCAACTCTTGCCCGCCTTCTCGATCCATAGTGCGAGGAAATCTGCACGGTCACATTCGCCTCAAGGCATATTGATGAGGGTAAAAAGAACATGGAATTCCCCAATATCAGTATAAGATCCCCATAGACCCCATATTCTATCTACTTTAGGGGGGGCTATACCCTTTTTGCATCTGGGCTCGCACACAGCCAGACTATACCCTGAACCCGAAATTCTGTCGCTACTCAAGGGGAACCATCAGTCGCGCTTGCGGACTTGGTAGCGTCAAAAACATAGGTAGCACATCTCACTTGTTGTCGAATATTTTGAAGAGGTGCTCATATGTTACTGGGAGTAAGTAGGTAGGGATAATACAAGGACTACATCTCCTCATTCCCTACTAAGGCCAGTACGTGCAAGAAGTTCTCATATGCCAGCAACCGAGCACTCCGAACATCTCCGAATGCTGAAGGACCATAAATGCAGTCGGGCATCCACTGGAAGATCGATTGCGTTGTCTCCCACCTGCTACTGGTCAACCCGGGCACGCAGCACTTCAGGGGGTTGACTAAAAAGGACACAAGCAGACATCACGGAGGTGGCTAAAGAAGCAACCGCAAGAGTTCATGGCCTTCGACAAGAAGATGGTGTTGCAAGCCGAGCTTTCCTGGAACTCGCTGAGAATGCTCCTAGGCAAGCCGAGGTGGGTATCATGACATCTATGACTTAGGTGGACCCCCACCCAAGCAGAGTGACTACAAGGGATAATGGTGATTATATCAGGGTCCTCCTTTTACCACGAATACAGGGTGGGGGGGTCCACCTGATCTATGACCCAGACCCCCAAAGGAACCAAAGAATGGACTTTCCCCCCCGCAATAAACCCAATCACTACATTAAGGAAACTTGGGGGAGTATTGGATCCTATACACGGTCTCGGGATGCATGAAGGATCTGGGGCGTAGATAGATCAAACGACTCGGTGGTACCTGTCAGCGAATAATATAATACTACTTTCGACCGTGAAGGCCTTTATTACATGGCACAGGGCAAGAAGTGCGCAAAGTTCACACCTAGTGTTCAGCAGTTCAAGACGGAACAGACGCATCTGAACTGTAGAATCAGAATTGCCTTTTCAGGTTTTTACCGACGAGATCAACTCTGAAAAAAAGCCTTGTGAATGAACCTCTAAATATTTACGGACATGGCTCGGCTTGTTCACGCGTCAGCTGTGGTTTAGGGCGTATGGCGTATGCAGCCGAGTGGGCTGAATCAACGCCAACAACTTGGTTACAGGGCAAGCACTGCCATCCCCACCCATGCTTAAAGGCTTCTAGCATTCCCTGAAACCAAAACTCGTTCTAGGGTGATACATGATGAAGTGGAAGCCAACAATGACAGTGCAGCCAGGTCGCATCCGCTCTTTCATGTCCACCTGAAGCTCCCGACTATTTCTTCAAGTCCGAAGGTGTGCATGAATATACACATCCGGACGTGTACGCGCGTGACTGGTCTAGGAACTGTTTAGAGTCTAGAGTACCTTGCTGCAACGGCAGATCGCCGTGGCCAAGTGCAATCGATACCCGAACAGCCCTTGTCAAAGGCAAGTCTGATGCAAGCATCTTTCAGTTGTTCATAGGAATTGCCCACTTGTCGACTCCATCAGGAGCTCGCTCAAAGCAGGCTACAAAAGAATCCTATACCCCGAAACATTCCTGGAAATTCCGACAACCCCTGCCAAGCCTATCGCAGCTCATCACGCCTCATACCCCAACCCCAATGCCTTGATCAACCCTGATAAGAGGACATGTCCTTGCAAAGAAGCCCTTCGGAAAACCGCAAGACAGCATATGAATAAGGGGATGACGTGGGCTGACTGAGGTAATTAACGGCTGCCATGGGAGACTGCCAACATTATACCCATTTTATGGATCCCCAACTAGAACATGGCGTCTTGTAGTATAAGGGCCCAAGAGTGACCACAATTTTGACAACCTACCATGGACTTGCGCACAAGGCTTGTTGCAATCCAGCTGCAGAGCCGCATATGTAATATCTGCCCAGCTTTCTGGCAAAATCCTTCCTTGGCGGTGGATTGAAGGATGAACCGTACCAATCCCGAACTTGGTTACGAAATTGTATTCTGACGTAGCATGGACTGACTGACATTTTGTGGGAGCAGGGCGTTTGAGAGCCGCACAACTTTACACGCCGGTGCCCAGCTTCACGTAGGTGACCAACAACGCAAAATCCAGGTTTGGCTCGCTTACAACTCCAGCGCCCCTACATTTCGACAATAAGCGTTTGTACTTGTCCCCCTTATCATCCTGATTCACTTCGGTCCTTGTTGCATGCCGTTCTGGGGTCAGAGGCTTTGCCCCACAATCTCTGCAGCTCTCGGATCCCCGACCAAGAGTCAAGATGAAGATATTGTCGCTGAACACGATGATCTTGTCTCCGCGCTGCTCATGGAAACGTATCAAGTATCTCAGCATGCGCATAAAAAATAGATTTTTGCAGTAGTGGTTGCCAGGCAGACAAGAATTAAACGGCAGGAGGATTGCTGCTGTGGTGGTCACTGCTGCCGCGTCAGCTGCCGCTGCCGCTGCTGCTGCTGCTGCTGCTGCTGCCGCTGCTGCTGCTGCCGCTGCTGCTGCTGCTGCTGCTGGTAGTGCTGGTGCTGCTACTGGCGCTAATACAATGACCGAAGCGAGCACTATTAGCACCCAACTATTGTGTTCAAGGGAGTACAGCCTGAGGTGTTGTCTGACGGTTGTAAATGAGGAGCATCAGCAAGAAAGACTCAAGATAGTTTCTGGGCCAGGATTAGGAGCTTCATGGAGTCTGCGTTTTCGAGTTTGATTGGGAGGTCGGCAAAACCATATCACTGCGACGCCTGGAGCATCAGCCTATCAAGACAGAACTCAGAGACACTTCAGCTCACCTCCGCGGAATTCGAAAGTGAAACCCTGACACCGCTCGGGCCCCTCCATAAAAAAGGAAATCATGGGGCCTTATTCAAGGTTCTATAATTAGAAGCACTTTTCAGTTTCAGCCAGGGGGCTCCTATTTACATACTTTGGGGTCTTAGTAATCCACTCCCCCCTAATACTAAACCCCGGACCCCCGAAATATTAAAAACCCCATTATGTGTCTATTATGATCTATTGGAAGTATTTAATATTAGGGGGAAGGGACTATATCATGTTAGGGCTTCATCTTTTTCTTGGTTGTGAGTAGGGAACGGAGGAGAGGATCCCGTTCGTAGTTGCCATGCCATGTGGCAATGCGAATCAACATGGTTGTTTCCATTAGCTATTCCATTCCTTGTGACTTTCTTAACTCTACACGCAAGAGCTTTTTGAACTCCAGTTTATCTTTTGCATTGGTTCATTCCCTCCTCAAAACCAGCAAGATAACCTTAACCTTAAAACCCATTATGTCCTATACAACACCAATTGTCATTTCAAAATGCAGAGTGTCTTCCACTTCATTCCCATTATTGCGGTAATATCCCTGCAGCCATAATCCCTATATCTAATCCCTAAACCGCTACATTATTCCAATGGGGTAATATAATGTCTCCAAATCTATGTAACCCTTTTATCCTGACAACTAGTAAGTTAAGCCTAAACCATAAACCGGATGAATACCGAAAGCCCCTAATTGCCCTCAGTAATATAGTACATAATAGTTTCCATGATTTTTTCTGTCCTTCATTCCCTCTTAGCAACCCTAAGCCCTAAACCATG